TCGCTGTCGCGGCGGGCGCGCCCGGTTGGAACTCCCGGCTGAAGCAAAAGGCGACGGACGGGGACTTCCCCGCGAGAGAAGACCTCCTCGGGCAGCCGGTTCTGTCACGGAGGGGAGCCGGCAGGACCGAGGCAACACTCAGCCCGCTTGCGAAGCGCCTCGAGGGCTTTGCAGGAGGTCTCGATGAATAGAGGCTCCTACGGAAAGAATAAAGGGCGGTGTTAGGTGGCTGTTATTTGCATTCTGTTCTTTAAAAATAAATTAGTTGTGTTCGGCTTGCAAGTGAACTTGCTGGGTCGGCAAGCGGGAGAAAGGAGCGCTGCTTCTGCTTTCTGCCCAGCACATGCCTGGTGCCTTTTGAGGGACAGGCTGATGCTTTGCCTTGAAGATTTCCTGTCTATGAGCTTCCTGGGCATAAAACGTCTTGCATCCTGAGGCAGATAAATTTCCTTTCTGCTGATGGTGGGGTCCAGTAGCGTGGAATGGGTATCGCCAAACCTGGAATGAATCTGTTAATTTTAAAGGTGCCACAAACGTAGTTTTGCTGTTGTAAACTAATGTAGGTGGAAATTGTTGTGAAGCTTGTTGCAACCTTGTCTAAAGGAAGGTGGCAGTGATGCAGGAGGAGGAAGTTGTGAGTGAAACACTCACAGCAAATCTTTTATAGGCTTTGACAAATACTTTAAGTAGAAACTCTTTGTAGGTGTGTGAAGTCCTAATTATGTTAAAATGAGGTGCACATTTCCATCAGGAGTAAGTCCCCTTTCTTCCTGGTCACCTGTATCTCATGAACTGGAGTTCTAGAGAAGGAGCTCCTTTCCCATCTATCTGGGCTTTAACTGCTCTTGGGTAGAGAAAAGTTGTAGATGGAGGGCAGCTATTGCCTGACCTTTGCTAGTTCCTCCTCAGGGAGCTATTTGTGGAGACACAATTCCCTGTTCATCTTATCTCTTCTCTCCCCCACTCCCAATTCCTGGATACAAATGCAGGAGGTCACTCCGGGTCTGTTTTCTATTAATCTGTATGCAGGAAGAGGAAATGACCAGAGGTCAGAGGTGATACACCAGAGACTGGGTGGTGAAATGGCTTGTTTCCTTAGATCAAGCCTATAGCAGCCCTTTTGTTGTGATTGAGGGAGTTCTGTGGAGGATTAAGTCCTTTTGACACAAGGCATGAACATCTGTTTTAGGGGGCTAGGTGGTTGTCCCCCCACCCACCCCAGGCACTCCGTGATAAGATGGGTTAATGCACTTTTAGGTAGTATGAAGGCTTGTGTGTGTTGGCCTCTAATGCATGTTTGGAGATTGTTGCTCATTCTATCACCACTCTCTGTGTCTTGTTTGAGCCGATTGAAGAAAGTACGGGGCCAGACCAGTTTGAGTCAGTGTGAAACAAAGTGCTACCGTTTATGGACTGTGTATAAATATAGCCGCCATTTGTACACTCCCTTATGGTATTTGGCACCACTGTCTCATCTGTATTCTGACTGTGTGCTGCTTATAACTAGTTATTCTGGAAGCTGTTCAGTCACATAATCACATCATCTTGGGGAGCTCCCCATAAAGGCTTTTGTTTACTCCATTGCTTGGGCATATTGCTCATTTTTCTTGTACCCAAGCCCAGATGGTTAGTCAAAAGAGTAAAGTGCTGTTACTTGTTAAGTACTGTATCAAAATGAGGATAGATGCCAGAAGGTTATATTAAATAGAAGTGGAGGAATCTAGAGCAGGGGTTTCCAATCTTGGGTAACCCAGGTGTTGTTGGACTACAGTTCCCAGAAGCCGTCACCACTAGCTATGCTTACTGGGGTTTCTGGGAGTTATAGTCCAAGAACATCTGAATTATCCAAGGTTGTGAACCACTGACTAGAGTGCCAAATTGCCAAAATTCTTAAAAATTCATTATTGGCACTGTGACATGTAGAATACTTGTTTCACCTTTGACAGTTACAGTCTGTCAGTTCCAACAAGAGCAGACAAATTGAATGCATAGTTACACATGTGCAGACTTAACAAATCCCATTCATTCAGTGACTCTGTGTCTGGGTAGGATTAATAAATGTATCAAACCCCTAATGCTCTAGCACAGGGATGGTGCCATTGTCACCCTCCAACGTGCATCAACCTGGACAATGGTCAAGGTATATGGCAGGGGAAGTGAGAAGCACCACAGGCTTCTCCATCCCTGTCTTGGAGAATATATTAGGTTTCCACTAAAGCATTCAGTTAAGCTGCTCTGCTCCTGAGATCCATAATAATACAGTTGCCCCTTAACGTGGTGTTACAAGATAAGTGGTTTGTCAAAAGCTCCTTTTCTCAAAAGGGAGTTCTTTATGTGGATGATTACCCTTTATTCAAAATAGCTAGAAATTCAGCTATGGACATTTTTCACATAGAGATGTGCTTATAAGTCAAACGACTTCACATGGTGGGGAAGGTCCTGCCATGCTTCAGATCCTGCAGTATCAAGCCAATGAAGGAGTGGGAGGTTTTTACACAGCAGAAGGCAAATACGTAGTATCTCCATAGCTGTTAACCAGTCCAGTCACCATTATCAACCTAATCACAGAGAAAACCAAAGACTGCTACAGAATCTGTAGAAGAGGATTGTTTTTTAATCATATCATAATCCACATTTAGTACTGTATTGGTGTCCATAAGATTTAATAGTCAAAAGGTACTGTATACTGAATATCTGCTTATGTTTGATTACAGCTCCAATTTGTATTGATTCAGTGTTATTTTATTCAACACAACAAGCAAAATCAGCACACAGCACTGCATATCAACAGCGTGTGTGTGTGTGTGTGTGTGTGTGTGTGTGTGTGTGTGTGTTTCCAGAAGGAGCATCCTGTAGACCAGTTATTCTCAGACTTTCTATCTTGCATCTCCCTCACCCAAATCACTCCAAAAACCAGTCCCAGAAGGATAGAAACAAAGTATATATATGCACCTTTCTCAGAAAAAAAACAAAGCTTTTTTGTTTCTATCCTTCTGGGACTGGTTTTTGGAGTGATTTGGGTGAGGGAGATGCAAGATAGAAAGTCTGAGAATAACTGGTCTACAGGATGCTCCTTCTGGAAACACACACACACACACACACACACACACACACACACACACACGCTGTTGATATGCAGTGCTGTGTGCTGATTTTGCTTGTTGTGTTGAATAAAATAACACTGAATCAATACAAATTGGAGCTGTAATCAAACATAAGCAGATATTCAGTATACAGTACCTTTTGACTATTAAATCTTATGGACACCAATACAGTACTAAATGTGGATTATGATATGATTAAGAAACAATCCTCTTCTACAGATTCTGTAGCAGTCTTTGGTTTTCTCTGTGATTAGGTTGATAATGGTGACTGGACTGGTTAACAGCTATGGAGATACTACGTATTTGCCTTCTGCTGTGTAAAAACCTCCCACTCCTTCATTGGCTTGATACTGCAGGATCTGAAGCATGGGATAGGTCTAAGATTTCAAATTTTATGTACTTACCTAGGAGTTAACATCATTGAATTGAGTTACCTCTTTGGCTAGACTTGTATAGGGATTCCTGTAAATTAACTGGATTCATTTTTTTAAAAGAAAGAGGAAAATATAATAGCTTGATAAATAACTGGGTTTTATGTTTTGAATTCCGGACTAATAAACAGAATGATATGCTTATAACCAGTTTGCTAAAATTAACAGAATGAATCTACAGGAATCTGATTTTCTTCATAAGCAAAACAACCAAAGATCATGTGATACTTTACATTAGATTAATCATGGCATTGGTTCTTGTGCAGTTGAGCTCTATCTGTTGCATTAAGACTGTCCCCAGTTGACAGATATACAGGTATACACACAAGAGAAGCAAACTCTGTGAAACACAAGAGCAAGAATTTGTGACATTTTATGCAAAGATAAAATGTTTCTGCTTAGACAGGGGAAAATCTCACTACTGGTCACAGTGGAACAACAGACGAATTGACTTCATTTGTGTTGCATCTGTTTTCAATAACCTGTACAGAAATGTCACTCGTCCTCCTACAGAGATATGCGAACAGGATGAAACTGTCGTTTTTGTAATATTTTAGGTTATTTCTTTAAACAAGGCCAAGATTAGCCACTTTAAGTTCTTGCTTATGGTCTGTACCTCTTTGCTGTTTGTTCCTGTGAAGTTTTGAGTAAGCCCAGGGTTAAACTGCCCTGGTGTTTGGGTTATTAATTTGTTTCAGCTCATATGATCACAACCTTCTGCTCTGGAAGGTTAAGGTTGCATTCAAGCAGCATGGCCCTTAACTTCAAGTTAATACCTTTTTTTTACCTCTATTGAGAAGGGAAGGGACCTGCTCAAGATCGCTCACAACCTTCTGCTCTGGAAGGTTAAGGTTCCATTCAAGCAGCATGGCCCTTAACTACAAGTTAATACCTTTTTTTTTACCTCTATTGAAAAGGAAAGGGACCTGCTCAAGATCGCCGTTTGTTTATTTTACTTTGTTTTCCTTTAAATGTTTTTAATTAATTGGCTGCTAAAATCAGAAGAAACACACCTGTAGCAAGGCTTTCTTTTCACGTCTTTCCTCTTCAGGTAAAACGTCTCTTGCTCACCAGTTCATTGATGGGGAGTTTCTGGAGTGTTATGACCCCACGGTGGAAAGCAGTAAGTCTTATGGCTAAGTCTCTACTAGGTGTACCTGTGCGTTTGTTTGTTGGGGATGAAAAAAAGAGAGAGGGATAGGTAAGATATTGACCATTGCCAAGCCTGGTTTGTCAGTGTCTTCTCTCTGGCTTGAGGACAAGGTAAAATAATCTTACATTCTGTGCCAAGAAAACCACCAGTAGTAAATGTACGTGGGAGGTGTCGGAATATATGATTGTTTCTTAGCAGGTGTATGCTCATACCATAGGATATTATAGTGATGCCCCTTACTTGGTATGGATGTGGGTTCTCTTTTGGATGACTTTATTTTTTCCATGTAATGTGGGAAATATGTTGTAAGTGTTGTGGGATAATGTTACATTTTATTTAGTGCATGTATTTGATCTTTCCCCTCCTACCCTCTAAAGCTCAAATTGGTAAACTGAAACCATCAGATCATAATGTATGGCAGCCCCTGCAGTAGGGAGTAGTTACTCATACTGTGGGTTCTCTTTTGGATGACTTTATTTTTTCCATGTAATGTGGGAAATATGTTGTAAGTGTTGTGGGATAATGTTACATTTTATTTAGTGCATGTATTTGATCTTTCCCCTCCTACCCTCTAAAGCTCAAATTGGTAAACTGAAACCATCAGATCATAAGGTATGGCAGTCCCTGCAGTAGGGAGTAGTTACTCATATTGTGTGTGGGTGTGTGTGTGTGTGCGTGCGAGAGAGAGAGAGAAGCTCAGGTAGCCTTTACTGGTTCAGAGGTGTCAGCAATGAGGAGGACTGGCCACTTGATCCGATTGCAGGAGCTTGCCAAGAAATTATCATCCATTCTGAAGCAAGCCATGCTGAACCTTACTGAGCTGGTAGCGTGCCTGAAGTTGCAACCTCCATGTTTTGAATCAGACCTCTCCACTTCCTCACTTCATCTTCACAATAAGAATCTTGTGAGTTAGGTCAGAACAAGAAAGGGTCTCTCCCTCAAGATCATGCAGTAAGTTTTCATGGCTTAGAGTAGACCAGAAATTGAATCTCACTCTTAACTCCTGCTTCACACTGCCTCTGGTTAGTTCTTCATGCAAATATAAATACAGAAACATCCTTAATATAGTTGGCTGGGGAGCAATATTGTGCTGGTTGCTGGTGGAAACATGACATGTCCTGCTCTAGTCTTCCATTCCAGCCGCCCCCTCTTGGTTCTCATGTGCATTCTTCAATACTGCAGTCCTTACAATTCTAGAGATAGGAGCTTCCCTTTCTTTTCTCCACTCCTCTGCCACCTCATAGAAACTGAGAGTTTGACAAAATGACAGAACACATGGGAGGATTGCATAGGCAGTAACAGAGAATTGAAACTGGCTTTTCTTTTCTGCTTTCATCCCTTTCTGGGTGGGAGTGAGGAGAGGACAGACAAGGAAGGAAGGAAGGAACAGACTAACTAACAAACAAATGAGGTTTGGTTCATCTCAAAGCATTTTGTGGGCTGGATTTGATCCACAAAGTTACTTGGCTAGGATAACTTCAGTCTATATGTTAGATTACCCACAAGGTCATAAGAAGTATCAACACTTTTCCAGTCTTGTTTAAAGGTGGGCTGCCTTGGTGGGCTGACAGTTGGGAGGCAAAGGTGAATGAAATAGGAAATGAACTTCATGTGCTGCTTGTTGTGGCTAAGAAGCTGGAAAGAAGAGATGTCAGGATGCCTCAATGGAGGCAGCAAGTGCCATTTCCTGATGCAGATGTCTCTCCATAAAGAGGGCATGTGAAAATCAAAATGTATTAATAGTGCTAATAATAATAATGATTGCATATCCTCAAGTCAATTCTGACTTATGGCAACCCTTTCCAGGGTTTTCTAGGTTGAGGATACTCAGAAGTGGTTTCCTATTCCCTTCCTCTGGGGATGCCCTGGGACTGTCCAGCTTGCCCAAGGCTACACAGGCTGACTGTGCTCACAAGGAGGCACAGTGGGGAATTGAACTGCCAACTTCTGGCCCTACAGCGAGATGCCTAAACCCTTGAACTATCCAGCTAGCTTCAAGCTGCATTAAAACCAAGTAAGTCTTGAGTATCCTCTGGGGAGGCATGGAACTGCTCTACTTGAAACCTCTTGGCCTGTTTTGAGTTTTTCCTTCTGAATGTAACAGATTTCGTAGCACCTCTGTTCTCATTTCCTGCCTGGCTTCAGAACCATCCCCATCACAACAGTGCCTTCCTGTTTTTCTAGGGGGCTACCCCGAACATTCATTTCATAAACTATATAGGCTATTTTGAAGGCAGGTTTGCCTATAAATCTGTTCTGAGGTTTTGGTGGCACAAGATAGCTCAGTTCCTGTTTACTCAATGTGGTGATTACTTCTAGAGAAAGGACCTTTGGAAGTTTCTTTATAGAAAACATTTACCAGAAGGCAACGAATATGAACGCAAATATTTCGCCATGATCCATTTTTCTGTTGGATTGCACTTGTCCTATATATTTCTCCTTTGACTTTTCTGCTTCGGATTAATAGCTAACCATCTTCTCTTTAAGTCAGTGGATATATAGTAAATGTGCCTCTGAGCAAATGAGCAGTGTAGCTATGCTGCTTCTGTGTCATCTTCTGAATCAGTAGGTTAGCCTAACTTTGCACTGGGCTGTATAAGCCAAAGGTGAGGAATGTCTAGCCCTCCAGATCTTGGTGGGCCACAACTCTTTTTAGCCTTACTTAAGACAGACAATGGTAAGATATGTTTGGATTTGCAACCCAACAACATCTGGAGGGCCATACATTCCACAACCCTGCTGTAATGTACACTGGCATCAAAGATAATTTTCTATGGAAGATGGGTTTTAACTGGCATATTGCTGCTGTTTCTTTGTACTGATGTATTATAATTATGTTTTTAATCTGTGCTCTGTTCTTATTTGACTGTCTCATTTGATCTGCTTGGAGTGCCCCTTATGGCAGAATGGTGGGATATAAATTTTAATGAACAAATGTCTTATCAGAGTGAGAAAGATCCTTATCTCCTATGTATTTGCAAGTGGTTTTGCAGAAGACTTGACCATAGGTAACAGCTTTGTTGGCTTCCTAAGCTAGAAGTCTTGAAGTTGGGGCAGGGTGAGGGAGGGATTATGAAGGAGGCATCTTCTTGCACAGCTGCAGGAGGCAAAGGTAATTTTTTGAAGGCAGAAGCTCCAATGGGGTGATGGCTTTGATCAGAATAAAATATTGTTTGCACTTGTGTTTTTGTTTTTCACTCCTACGATAGTAGGGCTCCTCAGACCCATTCTAATTATAATTGCTAGTCTACTTTTTAAGTCTCGCCCTTGTATGACACCCCCTCCCATTTACAAAGCACTTTGTTGATTAGTGTTGCAAAAAGCCACAAGGAGCGGGGAAGAACTTCACAAAGCCTTATTTATATTGTATACCTCCAATCTCTTGAGTGCCTCTCTGCAGGATGAGAGTTTATTTAAGAATTTGTTGGTTTGGAGTATTTATAGTTCACAATAATAAGATCCCTTGGTGAGTACACACAAGAAACAAGTTAAAACAATTTAAAACCGATAAAGCTGTTTAAACCCATTTAAAACCTATGTACTGTACAGAAATCCATGTAAAGCCAGCTCCGGTCAAAATCCTGACACACCAAAAGCTTTGATGATGGCAAGCCATGTTTTAGCTTGGCACCAAAACAAGCTCAGTATCCAGTGCTAATGGAGCTGCTAAGGAGACAACATCCCATAACTCAAGGGTAGGTCAGAGAGAAGACCCACTGGCATATTTCCATGTAATGCATTGGCCCCATTGGAGGAACCAGGGGGAGGACCCCCTTAGGCAGATCCTGTTTAGGGCTTTAATTGTTATCACCAGGGCGTTGAGTTCAGATCAGAAGCACAGTGGCAGTTAGTTCAGTTCCTTTGGAAATATTATCATTCCTGAGGCTTAGTTGCCAAATATTGCATCAGCAGCATCCATATCACCTTCAAGGGCAGCCCTGCACAGAGTGCACGGCAGTAGTCTAACTGGGTCATTATCGGTGTGTGAACTACTGTGGCCATGTTATCATTGTCCAGGAAAGGCCATACTGACAGGCTGGTTGAAGCTGGTCCAAGGACCTCTAAGCCACAAACCTCCGGGAAGTAAGAAAGGTGGATCCAAGAGTATTTTCAAGCTATGCTCCTGTACTCTCCAGGGAAAGTACAACTCCAACCAAGGCAGATGACTTTTCCAAAGAACAAGGACTGGGAATTGCCAGTCCACATAGTCTCCATCTTGCAGGCTTCGTTTTCAGTGTATTGGCCTTCATCTAGCCTGCTGCAGCATCCAGGCTGCTGGATGCTGCAGTACCTGGATGACCTCAACTGTCTGCAAAAACAAGGAGTGGTTACTGCTGGATGCCATCAACTTTTTGCCGGAACCGAAACCCCCCAACTCTCCTATTGATCCTTCTAACCTACATACTGATAGCCCGTAACAGAGGTGAAAGAAATCTGGTTTGCTTGGGGAGGTAGGTGGAGGACAAAGAAACTGGGTAAGAATGAGAAGAAATTGTAGGAAAGGGAAGGAATAGATTTCTGGTCTAGCGACAGGCCAAGTCCTGAACTGGAAAAAGAAGAGGGAAGGGACAAATGGAGATAAAAGTAATTTGTATGGAGAATTTTGGGGTGGAGTCTAGAATGTGGATGGATTTGGGAGATGGGTACAGCTGGCCTAAAATAAGATTGCTTTAAAATCATATTTCTCTTTCTTTAGCTTACAATAAAATGTTGATGGTGGGGAAAGATGAATTCCATCTGCAACTAGTAGACACTGCGGGACAGGTAAGAATGAAGAGAATGTCTTCATTCATTTGCAAGAGTGTAAATGACGTGGGGTAGGGGGCAGTTGATGCCTGAACATAACATCCTGTGAGAAAGATCAGTCTCATTAGATTCCATTGGTCTATCTCAACTTTGCTGAAACCTGGGCAGCAATCATTCCGGGGCAGGGGCAGGGGGCGTAGAGATTTGCTCTCATGTCAGTAGATGCACATTCAGGTAAGGTTCTCTCCCATGGTTGCATCTCCTCAGAAAAAGCAGCGGCCAGTTGCTAATTTAGGTGGCCCTAAGCAAATTTTTTCCATTCTACTGTGAAAGAATTCGCGTCTTAAATTTCTGGGCATCTTTCCCTCCCCTTGTCTTTTGCACAGGACGAATACACTATTTTGCCTCATTCCTTTATCATCGGCATCCACGGCTACGTGCTGGTATATTCTGTCACGTCCCTCAAGAGGTAAGGAGCAAAGATCAGAAAGCAGACCGTTTGGTCAGGGAGGTTCCGAGGTCTGGAAATGTCAATGTGATTGTTTGGACCTTTTTTGACAGATAGGTGTTTGGTTAAAACTTGTATCTACTATATAATACCAGTCAATGTTTTTATAATTTTGATTGACAATGTCTGATATTTTTGAGTAATAATAATAATAATGTTCTTTCCCCTTCCAATTGGAAGCATGCATCTTTTCTTCCTAGTTTCCATGCTGTGTTGAGCTGCAGTAGATAAATGCTATGTTGGGGAAAGAGGAACCATTTCAGGCTTTCTACTCCCTGTACAAAGCCAGTAAGATTGTGCAGGGTGTGGCTCACATTATGGTCTCTCTCTCTTTTTTTTTTTAAAAAAGGCATATGAGTAAAAGAGGGGTGGCCTCTCATTTGCCTCATTCTCTCTCCCCCGCTCAACCCCCCCCCCCAGTTTTCAGGTTGTGAAGTCTCTACACAGCAAGTTGTACGAAAGCAGAGGGAAGACAAGGTAAACCAAAACTGGCTGGGTGGGGACAGGAAAGAGCAGAGTTTCTGAGGGAAGAAACTACAAAGGAAACAGAAGTACTGTATGATGAAAAATACTTGTTAAAAAGGATAACTTGTGGGTTGGTGCTAGAAGATTTAGTATCTACCGGGTGAAAATAAATTTAAACATACTAATTTGCTTCTACCATCCTTGCCTGGTGTTAAGAGTTACATCCCAGGAATGGATTTCAGAATGGACGTCATTTGGCGATACATTCAGTTCATGAACTACTTCCAGACAGGCAATGGTAGAGTTAGTTTTGTGTCTATGTCATCAAAATTATCACTTGAAGAGTGGTGATGAAGTTACACTAAGGACTTAATTGATCATCTAGATAATAGCTTACAGATTTTATACTGACTCTGTTGTTTATTACAATAATTGTAATTACAATTTCAACAGCGCATTTTGATTGAGTGTACTCCCATCTTTGCATCTTTAAAAAATTGTTGCAAGGATAAAACCGAGGTTGACCTACACACAGCCTGGACTCAAGCCATAGAGGGCTTTATAGCCAACAACTAACACTTTGATTGGGCCCAGAAACATACTGGCATACAGTGAAGCTGTTGTAGCAAGGGGGTTACAGTGGTGCCCCGCTAGACAACAACCTCGCAAAACGACAAATCCATATGACGAGGTTTTGCGATCGCTATAGCGATTCGCAAAACAGTGTTTCCAATGGACGGTTTTCGATGGACGATGTTTGGGTCCGTGCCTCACAAACCGTTTCTCGTAAGACGACGATTTTGGCACTGATCGGCGCTTCGCAAAACGGGTGTTTTCGGGACTGATGCTTCGCAATACAGCCATTTTAACAGCTGATCATCACTTCACAAAATGGCTTCCCTATGGGCAATCTTCGCAAAACAATGACGATTTTTCGCCATTGGAACACATTAAATGGGTTTCAATGCATTCCAGTGGTGAAACGGTTTTCGCAAGACAATGTTTTCACAAGAAAGCGATTTCTATGGAACGGATTATCATCGTTATGCATGGCACCACTGTATATGTTTCCTATAACCAGCAAAAGTTTCTGAACACTCTTCAAAGGCAGCCCCACATGCAGCATTTTGCAGGAATCCAGAGGAGATGTATCTAATAAGGCATATACCACCGTGGCCAGATCAGACAGCTCCTCACAGTACCTGTTCTCTGCTTCAGGAGGGAGTTCCCCCTGGGAGGAAGAATGATGCAGAGGAAGAACAATAACTTGTCTCATCACATCTCAGAGCACTGATAGGTGGGGTCTCCAGGTCATTATGTGAGCTCCAGTAAGGCCTGAGTCCAGAGAGAGATAGAAGTGTGTGAGCATAATTTCTCACTGCCTGATCCTCTTAGGCAGTGGTCTGTTGCGAAATGTGTCAGACTAGAACCTTACAAAGGAAGGGGTAATTCCTGTTAGAAATCCAGGTCCTTCCAAGAGAAGTGCCAGCTTTTTGTCTTGTTATCTGCTTCTGGGTTAAGAACTGGTGATCTACTGCCCCAGCTGCTGAAGTATTAGGATAACTGAAAAAGGATGAGACCCAGAGGAAGCCATTTTTAGAAATATCCCTTCTCTTTCAACAGGATGCCTGTAGTGCTTGTTGGCAATAAAGCTGATTTGTCACTAGAAAGGTAAGAACTTTGTCATGTCTAAATGTAAGGACAGGACTAAACATGTCCTTAAAACATGTTTGGTGATCTGAGTTGGAGGGGGTTCTTAATTTAGGGCTCTTTGAATAATCTTTGGCCAGACACTTATTTCATCATTTTTTTAATTGGGGGACTGGACTAAGTGTCCATTAATTAAAAGATCTGTTCAGTGACTTCCTTGAAAAGATTAAGGGGAAGTTACTTCCACCTCCCCCCCCCCACAATTTTGGTACACCTGTGTAAAATGTCAATGTCCTCCCACAGTGCTTGAACATCACAGCACGTAACAGACAGCCCTTCCCCTTTGGCTCTGATCTTGCTGCATTCTTAACATCCCAAGAGCAGAGTTCTTTTCTTGAATGGGCCTCTGTTATAAGTGCCAACTGATTCTGTTGGCTCTTGTATTGTGTGTTTCTTTAAAAAACTCTTTTGAAGGTGGCCTTCTGAAGGGTTATTGGTATTTCTCATTTTTTTAAAAGTAGGCTTCTCACCATCATGGAGGTAGGAAAGCTTTTTTATATATTTGTCCTGGACCAGACCATCAGTGTAGCAGTCATCGTCATCATCATTGCATGTCATCAAATCAATTCTAACATATGGTGACCTTTTCCAGAGTTTTCTAGGTATTGAGTTACTCAGGCAAGATTTAACATTCCCTTATTCTGGTGTCACCTTTGCACTCTGCACCTTGCCAAAAGCTACACCGGCTGGCTTTTGGCTCACAATATACAGTGGGGAACTACCAGTCTCTGGCACCTCAGCCAGATCCCTAACTCACTGAGCTATTTACTTTATCAAAAAAAAAAGGAGATTTATGCCATGCGTTGGCATCTCCCTGCTACCCTTTCCCATCTCCTCCTATTTGTTTGTCTTTCTAGCCGTCAGGTGAAGACAGATGAAGGACGGAAGCTTGCTGATTCGTGGGGTGCTGTTTTCCTAGAATCCTCAGCAAAAGAAAACCAGGTCTGACATTTGTTCCTTGTGCACCTAGATTGGGAAGAAAAGGATATAGTTATTTTTGGATGTCCACAGAAATTCAGCTTTTTTCTTAGCTTTCTTATCCCGGGTTTAATTTGGATGGGAACTTCACATTGTAAATAATTGCAAAAGAAGCTGTAAACTCAATTCTCTCATTTTGGAGAAAACTGGGCGTTTTCTCCAGCTGCTTTATCCAAAAAAAAGAAGAAGAAGAAAAAAGAAAAAAAAGAGAAGCTCTCAAAATGGGTGAGGCACTTGTAATCCTCTAGATGTTGTTGTTGGACACCAAATCCCAGCATGGCCAGTGGCCCGGGATGATGGGAGTTGTACTCCAGCAGCATCTGGAGGACCTACCAATTCCTTGCCCCATCTCAAAAACAGTGGTCATCCTTGCTGCCAATGTAACATTGACCCGTCTTCCTTCCTCTGGCTCACAGATGACTCAAGGTATCTTCACAAAGGTCATCGAGGAAATTGATCGTGTGGACAACTCCTATGGTGAACAGCGCAGCTGCATCTTGATGTGATGCCTGTTTCTCCCTACCTGAGGCCACTCTGCCAGTGGGAGGGGTGCATCAGGTGAATCAGGCCAACTCGGGACAAGGTATTACAGCTACCTAGAGTCCTGAACAACAGGTCTGAAGTAGCTTACGGGTAACCCACACATAGACACAACTATACCTCGTTACTCCTCTCCTATAGGAGGGAGCCATTTTTTTGCACATGAGTTTGCTAGACACAATGTGTGTGTATGTATATATAGGGGTGTGTGTATGTGTGCGTGCGTGCGTGTATGTATGTATATATGTGTTGCCAAATGTTTACAGAACTGGGTACCTGGGAGCACAACGGGTTCTATTTATGTTTTGGGTTTTTTTTAATGGAGGGGCTCTTTTGTCCATTTATTTCAAAGTAGCATCCATATATGCACAAAGTTTACATATTTATCTGTTCACTGCTTGGTGTAATGGAGAGGCTGCCGAATGTATATTTTCCTCCCTGTGGAATCCATTGAGGGCTGGTTCTTTGATCTACAGTTGTTCCCCCTCCCCCCCATTGGCAGCTAAACCAGAAATGCTGTTATTCTTCAGTTGTGCCTCTTGCAACTCATTGCCTTATTTTTGGCAGGGTGAGAGTTTAGTCTCCGATCTGAATCCAAAAGTGCATTCCCCCTACTCCCCAGCTTCCACTGTAGCTCTGGAACGCTCGAAATGGCTAATGGCTCAGTGAGGCCTGGTAAACTTTTCTTTCATTATGGAAATAAAAGGAAAATTCTTCAGGAGCCAGATGGCAAAAAACTTTATGTAAGAAGCATCAGCATACTGACTACTGATCTGATGATGTTGCATCTAGTCTTGATATAAATACTGGGAACTGCTTAGTGTTGCTACAAAGATGGGGGGGGGAAGCAAGATGTTGTAGAGGAGTCCTGTCTGAACTCTTCCATCTCCTTATGTCTTGCTTACGGCCATTGTTTCATCTGGAAGATCTTTGAAGCAATGCAGAGAGGGGTGTTTTGGGGGGGGGAACACATCTTCCATTGACACTGACTGGAAAGACCTAGCTTTCTGAGGGGGTGAAATGTTTGCACTTATCTTGTTAATGGCTGGGGGGGGATGCAGTTTGCTGGAAGTCTTGGATGTGTTTCTACAAAGTCCAGCTGTGTTGCCTGATTATGCTAAAGTGGAGCAGAGAGAAGAGGCCTCTTTCTAAATCTTTGCTATGCTAGAGTGTGAAATGCAACCATGTCTTTCCATAGGGTAGCTATGTAGCATTCAAACTCCTCATTTTCTGCAAAATTGTTCATGTCCGGCTTCCCATCAGCATGAAGCTGCCTTTTGTTTAGAGAATGGACAGATGACATGTGATCCTCCAAGTACTTTGGGACTGCAATTCCCATCATTCTTCATCATGATCTATGCTAGCATGGACTGATTAGAGTTGCAGTCCAATAACACTTTGAAAGCCACATTTTGCTCCTCCATTGACTAAGGTCAGATGTAACAGGGCACACTCTTAATATTCTGGGATTATTGATTCCCCCCCCCTCCAGAAAGGGAGCTTTGAAATGGGTTCCACAGTTTCTGAGTAAACAGCTGCCCTCCCACCTCACTTGGCTTGCCTAGCCCCAGACTGCATAGCGCCTGCCTTCTTGTGCTCTGTCCATTTTGGGTCAAATACAAACTAGGAGGCTTTGGGGCATTTCCTTTGATGGAGGCTGGGGTGCAAAGGGCTGCTGGAGGGAATGTAGACACGCAGACTCCCACCGGCTGCCTGGCAGTAGCACCCTGGAACACTAGGCAGTCTTGGGCAGAGCAGATCTCAGGAAGCAGTTGCTCTTGAACCCTCGTGCACTGTGGCCTGTGAAAAGTGTGTGTGTGTGGGAGATCTGCTGGCATGGTCTGGACAGGTCCTGACTCCAGCCAGAGTACCGCTGGGCCCACATTCTTTAATGCCCATAATATCTGGTGTCAATGAGCCCCGACTCAAAGCCCAGTAGTGGCAAGGTTCCAAATTAAATGTCAGTGGTGATGAATTACTTGTTTTTTTCTTAAACTTTTTTTTGTAAAAAGATGTAAATGCAGTTTACACTTCAAAAGTGGGAATGATATAAAAATATTTCTGAGCATGTTTACAGTGAGTAACATTTTCAGTTACTTTAAAAATTACTTCAATGTGTATTTTTAGAGGTTTCTTCAGAGGCCAGGTTGAATAGAATTTTCAGTGAGTTTTGCCATTCTGTTAATAACCCTGGAATTTTCCCCTCTTGAAAGTGACAAATAGTAACCAACAGTGCAAGAATTACAATTTGTTGTTATGTGTTGTCAAATTGCTCTGACCTATGGCGACCGTATGAATGAATGAGCCATCTCCAAAATGCTACAGCCCTGCTCCGCTCTTGTAGACTCAAGCCTGTGGCTTCCTTTATCAAATGAATGAACTATAAAAAAGTGGTTTTTAAAAGCTGCAAAGAGTAATGGGAACAGATTACTTTTTTAAACCAAGGTTTCCAAGCTCTTATGATGCTCTTGTGGAGTCAACACTGTTCCATGCTGAAAGCTTCCTCTATACAGATGTTGGATTTTAGACCAGCATCACAAAATCATGCACTCCTTCCAGGGCTTTCTTCCAAATCTGAAAACTCATGGGGGTTTTGTACTGGTGGAGAATTGATTTCCTGACTTCATTGAGGGGTATTCAGGAGATTATGAAGCATCACTTGGAATGTTATCAAGGTCAATAGATTTCCTCTAAAACAACACAGAATACTTTGGCCAATATAAAGCTATATGTTTTACCCATGGTGGCTAGGAGCTGTATAACAGCAAGCTAATGAATTTACATTTTTAAGCTAGTGTTCTCGTCTGGTGGCCCCCATATTGTCTCCCCAAAAACCAAAACAAAATATTAGGGATCTTAATTATTGAGCATTTTAACCCTGTTGGAGAGGGGATGGTTAGCAGTTTCTGCCCCAGTTTTGTACAGTTCTGAGCGGGGTGGATAAAAACCAATGATTTTTTAAAAATCAGATTGATTTAAATCATAATTTAATTTTTTTAAAATCAATTTTTAAAATTTAAAGCAAAAACAATCTGATTTTTAAATCTAATCCATCCAGTACCCTAGATAGCTTAATTTTTTAATGTACCCCTTGAAGTCTGTTCTCTTCAGTTAGTTACTGCTGAAGATGAGCTGTGCACTGCTTAGTCTTCCTCACTGTCCTCTGTCCCTTTTCCTAAGGGTAGAGCTGAAGCCATGTCTCTCTCTCTTTCCTAAGGCGACTGTGGGCACTGGCTTGCTGCTCTTTTGTTCAAAGAGGTAATGAAGCAACATATTGGCCAGCCATTACTCTGATGCCCTTTCAGAGACTGAGCGAGGAAGAAGCAGCTTGCGTGCCTGATGTCCATTTAGTGGGAGGGTTGTCCTGGACTTCTGTGTTTAAATGTCTCAACTCTTCTGGGCTGCCATAGAATATAAAACCTAACTGGTGGATTCTGCTGCTGGGCTGTGCCTGGGGGAAGGCCAGAAGCAGGAAGCAGCTTGCAGAATCTAGTCTTCTGTAGGTGGTGGTGGGAGGCAGGACATACAGATTAATCTTGACATGTTCTTCTGCTGAAGCCTTTCACCAAATGGTAGATGGAAAAGAAAAGAGAACAAGGGGAGAAAGACCAAGCAAGGCTAGCCAGGAGAGAGCCCTGGTGGTGTTTGTTGTGTGTGACTGCTCTCTAATGCCTATAAACGATGCCTACCATTTACATAAATTACCCTAGAGAGTAAATAGCATGACATGACCTCAGTGATGAAGGCTTGCACCTGATTGTTTCTGGAGTGCCCGACTCACACACTTTTGGAACTGCTCACCATCTCCTCCATTATACTGTACAAGGGCTGCCATTAGCTGCTGAAGTATGGCTAGGAGAGAGGAGGGCAAGAAGCATGTAGGTCGGAGGACAGCAGACTTCTGCTGGTGCTCTGTCGTTCATGGTTATTGTATATAATGTGAATAAATGTTAAAGTAATGTATATATACAGGCCAATTGCCAACATTCTGTCCCACACACTTGGCACAATTTAACGCTGTTGGGAATTGCAGCCTAGCAGCATCTGGAGGGCCACCCATTCCTTACCCCTTCTTTACACTTACATGAATAATGTAAGGTGTTAGTCATGAGAGCTGAAGGGGGAAGAGGAGTTGGAGCCCAACCTGCACAGCAGGGACAAGATTGGAGAAGTTATTAGAAGGTGTTTAAGTCTCCTGTTCAACTTGGGGGGGCCTCTTGTCTGCTCTTTTTCCGGTTTTGCTCAGGAAAATGAACAGCATTAAACATATTTTTGAAGCAAGGGTGATATAATTTTCTGAGTGAATGTTTCATTGAGCAATCAAACCTGGCCTTAGGATCTCTTCCCTGGTTAGTCCTCAGTAGCTAAGACCTCGCTAGCATGTAGGTAAAGCTGGGATTAATGTTTTGTTTTTCGTCTTGTTTTGAGTGAACCTCACTTACTGGTTTGTTACTCATTCATTCACTTTAGAAAGAGCTTTTTGCATGCTCTTAGCAGTTGACCGGATTTTCCCTATCCTGGATCATTTTATGTGGTCTACAATTCAGCCATTTACTGTTTACCTCTAATTCTTATTAATTTATGAATAAGATCCAGTTGTAGGTGAAACACAGGAAGCTGCTTAGTCCATCTTAGTCCCTTACTGTTTATATCAGTCTTTCTCTACCTTTTGCCTCTTGGTTATAACAGTGTCTATTTTTGTTTTGTTTTGTAAGACCGGGACTCAGAAATGTGGGGTTAGGAGGTCACCTTATAGTTTGACCTTCAATTAATTGCTCAAAAGTTCACTTTTTCCACTGTGATAGTTAGAAAGAGACATCAAAGAAGAGATGATGAAAGCTCCCCTTTCTTGGACTGTAAAAATATAACATTTCTTATCTCTGATTTGACGATTCCATCTTAGCTAGCTGTTTCCTCTTATATTAAAGTAGCCATAAAGTGACCCTAATAGGACAGTGTGTGGCTTGGCAGATGCTTTGAGCCTGAATGGCCTGGGCTGGCACCAAAGGAAAGTGCCGCTGTATCTTGGGATCAGCACACTTTGAGATAGCCCATGGTTTGCCTCCTTGTGAGATACATTCAGCTTAATATGTCTCAGTATTCCGCGTATTCTCTGTTGCTGCCAAATGTAGAGTTAATTTGCTACTAATTGCGTCAATTATGCTATTAGTGAACACAGCAATAATATTGAGATACTGCCATCCTGAGCTGTGCTCTGGGCTGACTGAAAACATAAACAGTCTTTAAAAGTTTTCAACTGAAGCCATTCGGAGGTATCTCTCACCCAGAACTCAGCCTCCCTGAAATCCTCAAGGGAGTGTCACAGAAAAGTGGGGTGATGGCTTCACCCTCCTTTCTTCAGGTTACAGCCAGCTGTAGGAAAGGGCTTCAGCTAACATCCTTTTGACTCATACATCCACTGCCTATATTTAATTTTAAAGTGAACCCACGAATTAGGAGACAGACCATTTCCCTTTTTCTGATTTCGTTGGGTGAGGAGATGACAATGGGTATCACGGTCAGGTAGGCACTTGCACTGCAGTTGTGATACCTATTTCCTGTTTTTTGGGGGAAAACAAGGTCATATAATCAGTGGATTCAGATACCAGCTTTAAAAAGGCTTGGCCTTATGGGTAATCATACCCTAGTACCCAGAATATTAGTTCTAGAGTCTAGTACTAACATGTGCGGTCCCACCCCCACCACTGTATCAGCAGTGCAGGGAGGGGGCTGGTACACAGCAAATGGTTCTGGCTCTCCCATTAGGCAAAAATGGGCAGCAGCCTTAATTAGAAAATGCTGTGGGAGGGAAGGAGGCAATGAGGGACAAAGCAGACTGTCCTACCTTGCATCCTCTAGAGTCTAAACCAGTGGTCCCCAACCTTGGGCCTCCAGATGTTCTTGGACTTCAGCTCCCAGAAATCCTGGCCAGCAGACGTGGTGGTGAAGGCTTCTGGGAGTGGTAGTCCAAGAACAGGCAACCTTTAGCCTTTCCCATGTTTTGGACGTCAACTCCCAGAGTCCTTACCATTAGCCATGTGTGGTGATATACCCTCTTTCTGCATGCACGCTGCTGCAATTATGTCAAAGTCAGATTCTGAGTTTTAGAGAGTGGCCGTGAAGACAGGGGATCCAGAGAGAAGAAAAGGGCTGGTCCTAATAGAGCAAGGGCCCGTTTTTTTTCTCAGGCAAACTGGGGAAAATATTCTGGGCCTGTTATTTGCAAGAGTAAGGCAAAGTAGAAACAGGAGTGGGCTTCTTTCTGTGGAAGATTGAAGTGTGTTGCTATGGAGCTGGATTGGGAAGAAAGAATATGCATCTCGTTGTTAGAGAACGTATCTCTGTCAATACCCATTTAAATTATGACTGCTATTTGGGTATGGAGACGGAGACTCAGTAATTTGAGGCAACCCTTCTGTCCTGCTGTCATCCTAGCTCGCAGTTATTGTCCTCTTACAACAATTGTCACCCCATGTTCCAGAAGTCAGAATGTTGGTGTTCATACACGATCTTCCCTGTATCTTAGCTTCTGCTGCTTCTGATTTTGCCACAGCCGGACTATGGAATCATTTGGCCCACTGTGTGTTTTGGGCTACAAATCACATAATCCTTTAGAACTGGCCACATGGGCTGGGGCTTTTGGAAGCTGAAAATATCCAAAGACCCAACCCCTTTGGCATGCTATGCCAGTGTGGAGAGCCCCAACCCTTAGTAGCAAGTAGAAATGGGATTTTCTTATATACTGTTTTTTTAACCACAGCTTCTAGAGGTCTGCAGGAATTGCCCCAACCAAAATTATGGGGGCTTTATCCCCCTTCTCAAAAGGCCTCTGAGGTGGTTGATATAGCTTACACCTGGTGCCTAGATGAGGGAAAAAATGCTCAGTTTCTGAGTGCAGAGGCAGAGCAACTGGCTGGAAGAGAGGGACTAAGCTCCATGGCACTGCAAAGCATTAGGGCAGTTGTTCCAACCTTGGGTAACCCGGGTGTTCTTGGACAGCAGCTCCCAGAAATCCTGATCAGCACAGCTGGTGATGAAAGCTTCTGGAAACTGCAGTCCAAAAACACCTGAGATACTCAAGGTTGGGAACAAATATGTTAGGAGCATTTGTTTCCTCAAAAACACTGTACAGAACATAATGGGCAGAGAAACTACACTACCCCTAAGTTTTATGGCAGTGCCATAGAACTAGCCCCACCCAGTTCTTCTGCCTTGGAACTCAGAAGCTGAGGCATCTTTTTCATTTATGCTGCAGGTATATCAAACACCTGAGAGGTCTTTAATTTGGGGGGCTATAGCCTCTAGAATTCTAGCCGGGGTAATTGCAGGAGACTTCTGGGGGCTGTAGTTCAAATGAAAATTCCATCCCTAGTAGCAAGCATTTTGACCCAACTCCAGGAAGCAGTGGAAGACAGGAAGGTGTGGCGTGCTCTGGTCCATGGGGTCACGAACTAAACGACTAAACAACAACAAAGTAGCAAGCATGCAATTCTTTGGAGGGGCAGGTTTGCATGTTTCTAACGGGTATTTCCAAGATAATAGGGCCCCAAGCACCTCTGCAATTCCACCATTCAAGGCCCTTCTCAGTTTTATTACCACCTCTGTTCTCAGCTCAGCCCATATTTGTGAGTAATTTCATAGTAGGCTTGTGTTTACCTAAAAAGGGGAAAGTGTCGGTGATCTCTGCTAGAAGTATTCGAATTTTCTGAAAGCATACTGTCTTCTTTCTACATAAAATGACAGGGCAGAATGATTTTTCCTCTGGCCAGTCTTTTTGTAAAGTCTCAATTAGAATCTGGGTGCTATGTGGAACTTCGGGCCAACACCCCCAACCCACCCTACCCACAACTCTCCTACCCATCAGGCTCATTTGGTGTACAGTGATGTCTATTGGAAGGTGCGGTGAGAACAAGGAGGAGAACACTGTGTTGCAAGGATATATGCCCTACATCTCTGTATCTGATACCTAGGACTGGCTGTAGCTTCTCCTTAGGTGCACACTGAGGAGTTTGCCATTTCCACTGTGCAAGGGGACCGGCCCATAGCTCCCTTGTGGGTATGCAAGCAGCTGGAGATGGGGCCTTGAACACATAAATGCCAGGAAGTGAAAAGGTCTTCCCCAGCTCTTCCCCAGTCCCCCTCCCTCCCAAGACACAGCCTTTTCCAAATGTTACTAAAGAGGGACACAAGAATCCTGTTATGGAAAAGGTGCTCCAAAAAGACCTGACTTGGCAGCTCCATACTTACTCATTTTTTACAGCTGAGGGGGGGAAAGGATGATCTGTTTTTAACAAGACTCTGCCATTAGGCTCTGCATGTTGTGATCCAGATATTGGAAGATCTGCCTCGCGCCATGTTTCTCTCTTGTATTTGTTTTTAGCCATTATGTCATTGCAACCACTGTATATTGTAAATAAAAGCAGAAAAATATCACCTGTGTGTGTTGTTTTATCACTGTATATAGCACCACTAAAATTTACAGAGGGAAAAACAATATGCATTTACATTGAATTTATAGAAATTGCTTATAATCAACAAATCATTTGTCTTCAACATCCTTACCATCACTCCCAACTTATATTATGGAATGCTGACTGTGGGAGTTGGATAGGCATATATATATATATTAGAGAGAGAGAGAGAGAGAGACTTGTCCAGCAGGCCGAGGCAAAGAGGCAGTCCTGAAAGCAGCAAAAAACAAGGAGCTGGACAGGGGAGAGATTTTATTTGTCTTCAGTGTGGAAGGGATTGTCACTCTCAAATGGGCCTTCTCAGCCACACTAGATGCTGTTCCAAGATGTCTATTCAGAGCATGTTACCATAGTCTCTCGAGACTGAAGGATGCCTATATATATATATAGGTACACACACGCACACACTTTCAGAACATGGAAGGGATGCTGTTCCAAGACCTCTGTTCAGAGCAGATTATCATAGTTTCTCAAGATTGAAGGATGCCTATATATATATAGGTACACTCACACACACACTTTCAGAACATGGAAGTTTTTTTTATGTTTTTAAGAACTGGGTGAACTCTTCCAAATCTCTCTGGCATTTTGAATTTTAGGTACAGAAAAGACCCTTATGGAGGGGGCAAAGTCTCTCGAACAGTGTCCCTGGAGACATATGGAGAGCCATACACTCCCCACCTCCAGTTTAAACCAGTGGGACCTTTTTTTCATCAGCAGCTTCCAACTGGAAGCGAAAAGAGGCCAGCCCATGCATGCAGGTAGCCATAATCCTCATCCTGGCATCATAGCCAGTGGGAAGATTTTTAGAGACTTTACGCTTGTAGGATCCACTCTTTCTTACAAAAACCTGCAAATCTATAAACTGCTGACGAGTAGAAGCTGGATCACTGGAATGATGACAGGTGGGCTTTTTATCTTCTTTTCCTGTTGGATTTTGTTCTGGGGAATGGTTTTCTTGATTTCATTTTTGCCCATGCTGATTTGACCAGCATAAAGGTCCTCCTGGTATCCATCTGCCTTTCTATTCAAATGACACTTCCTGCTCATTAGCAGACCATGTGTGGCGGTTCTGGCTGCTCACCCTCATTATGGACTTCCAAAGGTGCATCAGATCATACACACACTGAGTTCCAACTACTTAATTCTTCCTGCCACCATTCCTCATAATTAGGAAAGCTTATTTTAAAGTTCTTGCAGCATCTTTAAAACTTAACAGATTTATTTTAGCACAGAAATTAACTATAATCCCTGTCTTCAGATGAACAGAGTATACTACCCATTATTAGCTGAGAATTCCTTAATTATCATCATCATTCTGTAAGATTTTGATAAATTCACAGGCCTTCTGTATTGTGCTGTTAAAACCCTTTTCTATGTTACATTTTACTTTTTTAAAAATATTTTTTAAAAACTGCCTTTAAGGGAAAAGACAGCTTTTAAGATAAAATGTATCAATAAACAGCAATATGCAATACACAGTAATAAATGCAAATCCACAACAATAACAACAAAATGAAACCCAGGAAAAATAAGCATCCAATCTAAGAAATACTGAAATCCAATAAATGGTTTATAGCAAAGCCATCAGCAATCCAAATAAAACACTACTGGGTGGGTGGGCAAAAAGTAGAAATGTTTAGGACTTGCCATTGCAAAAAGAGTCACATTCTTCCCTCTGTTAACCTCATTGGTGTCTGAGGGAGGCAGATGAGATGGCCCATGTTCCTCATTTTAAAGTGCAGTCATGTTAGAATGGGTGAGGGTAGCTCACTATCTGTTCTAATAATAAAAGTTAATAACAAAAATCAAGTTTGTGGGATCCATTGATATCTGAACATGCCTCTCTTTCACTGCAGATTGAAGCTGTTGCTCAATCACCTACAGAATAACTGGCATTTGGTAGTGGGGAGTTTTGTATCTGTTTGGTGTTGGTGAATATGCTGTGTGTGCTGGCTGCCACAGCTTAAACCTACATACAGCTTTAGGATGCTAGATGCACTAAACGGAGTGGGAGTAAACAGGTTTGAATCAAACTGCATTTTATTTGGTTGTTGTGGGTTTTTCAGGCTCTTTGGCTGTGTTCTGAAGAACAAAGAGCCCCCCCAAAACCACAACAACCATCAGATCCCAACCGTGAAAGCCTTCGAGAATATATTTTATTTACCTTTGGACTGGAATATTATTATCAGGGTCATTCTTCTTCCCTGGTGTTATACATGGAAATCAGTCTCCACAATGTTGAGCAAAGTTGCTGTTGGGCCTTGGTCAGACTGAGGGCAGCTGGAAGGGGTTGATTTGACTCTGCCACAAAGGCTGGAGGAAAGAGTCAAGGACAGGCTGCTGGTGGTCTGGTGCAAGGGGAGAGGGCTTTAGTTTATGCAACCACTGGCATGAAAGGAGCTGCTCTGATCCAGAGGTGTTATACAGTCTGGTGAGTTCCCATTAATCTTCTAAACCAGCTGATTACCGTATATTCAGGCTGAAACTGCAGCCTCCAGAGCACCCTTAGTACACAGGGTTTAAATTATGTCATTTGCTGAAGGGACAGAGATCATGGTGGCACAGGAAGTAAAGTGCAAAAGAATGACGGCTCAAAGCCCTGCTTTGATATCACTACTAACCACCCATTCCCATTGCCGTTCCTTGTTTTTTAAAAAAAAACATATACAGGCACAACGTGTAGACATGTCAGGTTGTCGCTAGTAATACAGCTGATACCTTTATGTCTGGATACATGGTGTTACAGGTAATAGCTAAAAGCATTTTCAAGAATCCTTATGTAATACAAAACATGATATCAGTATAACCACTTATTTTTCCACTTGCAACAAGAAACTATTACTGTATTGAGGAATTTATTTATTGGGGGAAAATGTGCAGCCCACTCTTAAAGAGCAGCTTACAACATGTAATAAAATGACACGGTAGAAAATATGTTTGCAAATAATAAAAACAAAATACAGGCAGCGTGAAACAGCAGTTGAAGTGGGGGATCCCCCAATACAGAAGCAAAAAAAATTACCACCATCATGTCCTCAGCTGACACCAAAAGGCCTCTCTGAAAACCTAGGTCTCAACTTGACACACACAATCAGAAGAGAATTTGCAGCCCAGTTGGGAGTCCAACTCCCATCAGCCCCAGAAAGCACAGTCAGTAGGGGAGGATGGGAGCTGAAGCCCAACATCATCTGGAGAATTATATGTTCATCACCCCTTTGTCTACAAGTGTTGTGTTGAGGCGACGCCTTATTTTCTAGTTAGGATTATTTTAATATAGTGTTGGTGCCACAACTGGGAAGTCCTTGTTTCTTAGAAATATCTATTGTCCTGAAACAGGCAAGGAATCTAGCATGTTATACCAGGTTGTTTCTTAGAAATATCTATTGTCCTGAAGCAGGCAAGGAATCTAGCATGTTATACGTACCTGCAAGACTGAGGAAGGTTCAGAAGGGCTAAGCAGGGTTAACAGGAAAGGGCCAACATCTCTCTTATTCCTGTCAATCTAACCTCAGAAGCAGGGAGAGAATCTGAACACTTAAAGTCT